GTGTTGTGTGAGTGTGTGGGTGAGTGTGTGGGTGTGTGTGGGTGAGTGTGTGTGTGTATGTGTGTGAGTGAGTGAGTGTGTGTGTGTGTGTATGTGTGTGTGTGTGTGTCTGGCCTAGAGAGGCAGTGTTATGCAGTTAGGGTCAGCGTCACAGGAAGCCTGCTGTGCACGAGATGTGGAGGGAGGGCAGATGGGATTTTTAAGAGGCTCCTTAGAGCGGCTGGGCACATGCGAGGACAAAGGGGCTGAAGATCTCTGGCAGAATTCATGGGTAGAGCTTGAGGTTCCAAGCTGTGAGTTTTGGGTCCTGAGGTTGAGGTGGTCCTCGGTGGCTCTGCTAAGGAGCCTCACCCTTCCTGCCTCGAGGATCACGGCAGGAGCCTGTCTGGAGTGGCCGTGGCAATCGGACAGCAGGGAGGCCGAAGAAGACAGTCATGGCAAACAGGCCAGGTAGAAGCTGCAGGATCAGGACCGCCAAAGCAGAGAGGCAGATGGTACCAAGAAATGATGGGAAGCCCGGTGCAGTGGCACACACATTTAACCCCTGCACTCCAGAGGCAGAGGCAGGCAGATGTCTGATTTTCAGGCTATCCTGGTCTACAGAGTGAGTGTCAGGACAGCCAGGGCTATATGGAGAACCTTTGATTTGAAAAACAAACAAAGTAATGCTTGGGTGGCTGGAGAGATTGTTGAATGGTTAGGAGCACTGGTTGTACTTCCAAAGGACCCTGGTTCAATTCCCAGGACCCAATGACAGGTCATAAGCAGCTATAGCTCTAGTTCCAGGGAATTCAATGCCAGGGAATTCTGACCTCGACAGCTACCAGACACACAGGGGGTGCAGGCACACATGCATGCAAAACACCCATGCACAAAAATGGAAGAAGAATGAAAAATGAAGAAGAGAGAAAGAAGTGGGTGCAGATGCACAGGCTAATTACTGAGTTCATGGAGGGGCAGTGGGTGTGGGCATCTGGTGACAGGGCAGTCCCTGGACCCCTCCCAACTGCCTAGGGGCCTAGCTTAGCTCATTCAGGAATGAGCATGGGGTTTGGATATGAGGGAATCAGAAGCTCAGGGATCAGGCCAGGAGTGAGAACTGGGGGCTCATGTGTCAGCACACCCCAAGGGCTCTTCGAGTGTGCAGTGTGGAGTGTGGCCCCCTGAGAACGGCTGTGACAGGAAGAGAGGCCAATGGCTGACACCATTGGACAGCGTGAAGTCAGTGTATGAGAAGTGACATTTGCTCAGAGTCCTAAAGGATCCTGAGACTCCAGAAGGGTCCAGAGCAGGAAGGAGACTCAGGCACCTGTCAGGGCACTTCTCACTGGTGCCTGTTAACCCTGCGGGTCCTCTTACCTCGCCTGCCTTGTCTCCGGAGATACTCTGCGTCTGTGTTCCTCCTAAACACACACTGTGCCATGTGCACCCATCATGGGCAGGGCTCAACCTCCTCCTGTCTCTAGGTTCTAACCCGAGTAGCCGGGCCTCCCTGTAGCCGCAAGTCTTCGTGTGTCCCACCCTGGTGTAGTCGGCAGCTTATAAAATAATCACTCAGAGGCTTATTATTACTTACAAACTGTTTGGCTTATGGCTCAGGCTTCTTGCTTGCTAGCTCTTGCATCTTAAATTAACCCATTTCTATTAATCTATGTATTGCCATGGGTCTCGTGGCTTTACCTGTGTTACATCACATCTTGCTTCCCCTGGGGACTCTCAGCATCTCCTCTGACTCTGCCTTCTTCTCCTTGTCTCTGCTTGGACTCCCCACCGGGCTCTATCCTGCCTTGCCATAGGCCGTAGCAGCTTCTTTATTAACCAGTGTTAGCAACACACACTCACAGCGTACAGAAAGACCCCCACAGCAGCAGCTCCCCACTGGTTCCTGGCCAACAGTCTGCCTGCCTCTTTGCAGATCACCACCTTCTCCAGACTGCTGACCAGTACGGACTGTGAAGTCTTGGAATCCGAGCTGAAGGGACTGGCCTCGAAGCCTATGCTCCTGTCTCTGCAGCAGTTTGACACTGAATATTCCTTCCTTAAGGAAGTCCGGTGAGGTGCCCTGCTAGCTGCGTTCTCAGGGACCCGGCCCTGGGGTATAGAGACTGGCACTGGTTAGTGAACTGGGGGCGGGGGCTTCACTCTGCATTGGCTCGTGCCTGGACCTCCAATGGGCCTCTCTGTCCCACTGCTCTATTCCTCTCCTCCAGCTTCCAGCCTGGTCCTCTGTCTCCCCAGGAAGCCTGCTGGCCATTTAGAATTCTGCTGAGTCGTCTGCTTACCCAATGGAGGGCATCTCTCTGCATGCTTTTTCTGTGTGGCCCTGGCCTCACCCTCCTTCAGGAAATTCCTTTATCCATTTTCCAGGACAGGGAACTCACCCGGTAATTAATTCCCTTTCTCCTCCAGCTCTTGCTTGATGAACCCAACCAGGCGTAAAATCCTAGTCATCCAGACAGACTTCGACGATGGGGTCCACAGCGCCCAGCTGGTAGCCTCTGCCAAGTACGTTTTCATGCTTGTCTGGAAACAACACAGGGAACCAATACTTACAACCTCAGTAGAATCTCTTCTCTGCAAGTGTCATGAGACACAGAAATTAACACGAAAATTCTCTTCATTCCACCAGATGACTATAAAATGATTGGAAATGCTAGGGAATCGCTCAGTCACGTGAGCAAGAGGACCTGAGTTTAATCCCCAGTTCTTCTGTACTCATGCACGCATGTGCATACACATCCACACACATGGGGAGGGGAGTGTACAGAGGGAGGAGAGAGAGAGAGAAAAATTGTAAAATACACGTATAAATAGTAGACCATTAATCAGATGTTTAAAAATATCCTTGAAACATGTTTGCAGTCGCTTTTTAGTTATGGTTATTGCAAGTTCAAGAGCAGTAACTGGTGAGACCCTGTGGGAGTCTGTGATGTGTTAGTGGGGTGTGTGTGGTTTGTAGGTATATGTGTGTGTGTGTAATGTTGGTGGTTTGTGGATGTGTGTGGTATGTATGTGTGACTAGGATTGAAACCTCACTTTTTTTTTTCTATGTAGCAACCTAGGCTGTCCTGGAACTAACTTTGTAAACTAGGCTGGTCTTGAACTCACAGAGATCTGCCTGCCTTTGCCTCCCCAGAGCTGGGCTTAAAGGCTTCTTCAGCAGTGCCCAAATAACCTCATGTTATATGTTAACAAACCAGTTCTCAGTCACTGAGCTACAATGTAGCCCTCTCTTTACTTTTTTAAACACTGTTTTTGAGTGCATGTGTGTTTGCCTATATGTGTGCCTGGTACTACAGAGGTCAAATGAGGACACTGAATCCTGGAACTGGAGTTGGGACAGTTGTAATCCACCCTGTGGGTGCTGGGAATCAAACCCGAGTCCTCTGGGAGAGCAGCAAGTGCTCTTAACTGGCGAGGCAGCTCTCCCTCCCCTCCTTTTCCTTTTCATTCTGAGATAGGAGCTCACAAAATTGTCCAGGCTAGCCTTGAATTTGTGATCCTCATGATTCAGTATCCTGAGCAGCTGGGACAGGCTTGTCCTAACAGCAGGACCAGCTGGTAAAGTGTGTGTGTGTGTATGCGTGTGTGTGTGTGTGTGTGTGTGTGTGTGTGTGTACTTTTATTTGTATTTAATAGATGTTGTTATGGTATTGGTAAAAGAAATCTAATACTTTAGAATTAGCCATATTTTCTTGTTCATGATAAATGGGAATTTCTGGGCCCATTTAAAGCACTGGTAGCCATGTTGTATTTTAGGGCGTAGTGAGATCTACTGGGAACCGGTTTCAGTGCTGCGCAGGGCTCCATAGGAAGGCCAGAGAGCTTTAGCTTGTCCACAGCCGGGCAAGGCCCTGAGAACACACTTCTATTCAGGACAGAAATCCAATCCTGAGCAGAGGATTCTGGGAGGGGTGGGAAGTGAGCCCACCTCATCTTGAGGTTGTGAAGTGATTTTAAGCTCCTAAAAGTGTGAGACCAAGACTGCCCCTGTCAGCTCATAGGGCAGGTGGCAGCCAGCTCCCAACATAGCGTGTTTGCTTGGTTGTAATTGATTTGTGTTTGCTTTTTAAACAGGTATTCCACCATCAATGAAATCAACAAAACACAGGGAACCAAGGACTTTGTCTTCGTTTATTTCATTACGAAACTTTCCCGAATGGGAAGTGGCACATCTTATGTGGGGTTCCATGGAGGTAGGACTACAGCACCCCAGAGCAGAGGTTCTCAAGCTGTGGGTCGCATATCAGATATGTACATTATGAGTTATAACAGTAGCACAACTACAGTTATGAGTAGTAATGAAATAAGTTTATGGTTGGGTCACCACAACATGAAGATCTGTATTAAAGGGTCACAGCGTTAGGAAATGGAGGACCACTGCTCTGGAGTGTGTTCCTTTAAGTAGTATTTCAGGTGTTTCTCATGTGGTCCTGTGTCTGGAATTAGAATTTGAATCCCAACAATGCTCTCCAGTCACAATTAGGTTTCTTACCCAGGCACTGAAGTCGTTATTCTTAGCTGGGTATGATGGTCGCACACACTCTGTAATCCCAGATTTCTGGAGGCTGAGGCAGGAGGATTGCAGGTTCAAGACTAGCCTGGATTACACAGAAAGACTTGGTCTCAGAAACAGACAGACAGACAAACCAACTTTGGGCACACAGCCGTGGCTTTAGCACTTCCTGGTCCTCTCTGACTGCCACCTGCCATGATGGAGGGAATTCTGCGACCTCCCCACCCACTAGCACCAACACAGCGGTTCCTCTCATTTCATTTCAGTTTTGTGCGCTGACTCTTTGTGGGAGAAATGTTATCCATATATCAGTCTCCTGCTATAAGACATATATTCCAGAAATTGGAAATAACCAGTGGATAATTTCATAGATGATGTAGGGCATACCTTACCGGTGCCTCACACGCCTTTACTAATTATGAGGTGGCTGCAGGGAGATGCAGATGAGTAACCTAGAGCTCACCCATGGGCACTTTGCAAGAAGTTCCTCTAGATCTTTTTGGTTTTGGTTTTTCAAGACAAGGTTTCACTGTGTAGCTGTGGCTGTCTTGGAACTCGCTTTGTAGACCAGGCTGGCCTCAAACTCAGATCCACCTGCCTCTGCCTCCTGAGTGCTGGGATTAAAGGTGTGCGCCACCACCGCCCGGCTACTCTATATCTTAAACAGTGCTTAGGTTGGTCTTATGGATAGCTTTTTCTCACATGTCCAAGGGCTCAGACTTTGGGGTACTGATCATTCCTTCAGCAACAGTGCAATTAAAAATCTGGGAGAAGGGGATGGAGCAAAACCTCAGTGATTAAGAGCACCGACTACTGGTCCAGGGCACCTGGGTTTGGTTCCTAGTGCCCACCTGGTGGATCATAATCATCTGTATTTCCATTTCCAAGGATCTAACACCTTCTTCTGACCTACAAGACTCACACATGGTGTACATATATATACATGCAGACAAGTACTCAATAAATAAAAACCAGTTAATCAATCTTAAAAAGAAACCTAGGTTAGCCCAGCTAGAGGGCTCAGGAGGTAAAGGTACTTTCTGTGAACCCTGACAATCTGAGTTTGATCCCCAGGGTCTTCATGATGGAAGGAGAAAAGCAACTATCACAAGTCATCTTCTGACCCCACATTAGTGCTATGGCACACGTGCACAAACATATGCTACACAAAAATAATAAGGAAAACACACATGGTAACATAAACAGCCAGGTTGTTACATGTCTTTATGAATGACAAGAAGAAAACTGCTAAGTCACAGAAGACTCCCGTGACTGTGTTCTCCACAGGGCTGTGGCAGTCTGTACATATTGATGACCTCCGCAGATCCACAATCATGGCCTCAGATGTCACTAAACTGCAGAATGTCACCATGAGCCAGCTGTTCAAGGCAGTGGACAAACCTGAGTGTGAGTCACAAGACGCCATTTGGGGTCATGGTGTGGGAGACAGGAGGGAGTGCCAGCTGTGGTAGTGCTGTGGTGCTGGATGCAGAGCCCCTCCGCTGTGCGAGCCCCTGGCCATCAGCAGAGTTCACAGCCAGCTGTGGTGGAGCCACGGGCAAGGCCACCAGAGTATGCCCACAGCATGCCAGTCTACTTTAATTCCTTTGCCAGCCCTTAGAGGTCAGGCTAGGGAGCACCTGAGCAAGAGTTGGAGCTGGTATACAAGGCACACGTTCCCTTTCCTCGGCCACCACTACAGATAAGGACAAGGGAGCCAGGCAAGTCCCAGCCTATCCCAGAGATCCTGACTCACCCTATTCAGGCCCCGCATGCTAACATGTCTGCATGTCTGCCTTGCCTTTCGCCTAGCAGATGACCCAGAGGAGGAGATGGAGACAGAGACCAGCAAGTCAGGGGAAATGGCAGAGGAAAAAATGGAAGTGGAAGGTCCAGAGATGGAGAAGGCATCTGACCCAGGAGGCTGTGATGTGAGTCCTGCTTCTCCCATTAGCTAAGGGAGCTGCATCTCTGACCCTCTCCTGGGAGTGAAAAGAACCCTGTGTTTATGATCGGGGGAGGGGAGACTGGGGTTAGGCTGCACCCCCTCCTCCCTCCACCATGGATGTGTAAGTGACTCATTCCCTTCGCTGTTAGTTCTGTCCCTTCCTTCCTCCCTGACTCTCTTGTTAATGTTGGCCATCGAGGGGCAGGGCTGGGAGGTGGTAACTTTTGCCCAATGACCAGCAATTGGAGCCACATGATTGCTAACACAAAATCACCATTTCACATGGTTGGCCCAGCCTTTGTCCAGACTGGAATTGGGACAACAGAAGCCTGTTCTCTTCTTCACTTTCCCAGGTCCTGGACACCACCAGACTGCTGCGGAGCTGTGTGCAGAGCGCCGTGGGGATGCTCAGAGACCAGAATGAGAGTTGTGCACGAAACATGAGGAGAGTCGCCATTCTCCTTGGCCTCTTAAATGAAGACAACACAGGCAATGGTAAGCACTGTACCCGGGTGCTGAGTCATCCGCCTGATTTTCAGGCTCCTTGGCCTTGACAGAAGCAGTGGGCATGGTTGGGATCCATGGTAATCTTTCCTGGCCAAAGGGTGGGCAGCTTTTCTCTTGGGCAAGGTGGGTCGAATCTATGAGGGGCCTACAACCTAGTGTGCACGAATAGGCCGAACTCGTTCCCACTGTCTTCACAGCCTCCTTTTTGCGGGAATCGAAGATGCACCTCCATGTTCTTCTAAAGAAGCAAGAAGAGAACCAGGTCCAAAGTATAAAGGAATGGGTCACCAGGGAGGCTGCTAATCAGGATGCCCTGCAGGAGGCAGGCACCTTCAGGTACAAGGAAGGGCAAAAGAAGCATGGAGGTCTTTGCACCATGCCAGTGATGTTGTCTTGGAGGTGTGACTCTTAGTGAAGTACTCCTGG